TCACCTGAGGTCAAGAGTTCGAGACCAGCCTGGCCAACCTGGTGAAACCCCATCTCTACTAAAACATAAAATTAGCCGCATGTGCCTGTAATCCCAGCTACTTGGGAGGCTGAGGCAGGAGAAATGCTTGAACCAGGAGGCGGAGGTTGCAGTGAGCTGAGATCATGCCACTGCACTCCAGCTTGGCAACAGAGAGAGACTGTGTCTCAAAAAAAGAAATTGTTTATCCATTGCCTTAATGTTAAACAAGTTATACAATCTTTCAGTCTTTGAAATCATGTGGTGCATAATACATTGTCAGCTGATCATAATGGTAAATAATTATGTTTCATGTCAAAAAGATCTTAAAAATCCCAGCCATCTAAATATACTTCCCAACGCCATTAAGTAATGTAAAATAATATTTGTATTTATGCTCAGATGTTGAAGATGTTGTTCTCAAATAAAACTACACTTTAGAAATGGCTTCTTATTTATAAGTAGTTTAGCCTATTGTTATAGTTTGAATATACTTTGATTCTACTTATGTGTTATAAGTGTTCTTGGAAAAGTCCTCAGAATAGATAATTGTATATATTATGTTTTTCATATTGATTTCCATTTTAATTTAGAAAATTCACTCCCTTCAAAAAACTTTTGGACAGTAATTGAGAACCTTCAAAGAAACACTGTATCTTTTTTTTGAATGTGGTCTATCCATAGTTAAATGTCCCATACTGCCCTCAGAACTTACAGAGGTAGTAACATGCAATCTTTTTGAAGTGCAAGTAAAGTCAAATAAATTATATAATTTGTTCCCATTTCATTATAAATTTTCACTGCCCTTAAGACTTTCAACTAGCTTATTATAGGAGTGTTAATTTTTTCTTCTATTAAGGAACAATCTTGCCAAAAAAAAAAAAAAAAACAACTTTTGAAAACCACATAAGAAGGCCAGGCGCAGTGGCTCAAGCCTGTAATCCCAGCACTTTGGGAGGCCGAGACGGGCGGATCACGAGGTCAGGAGATCGAGACCATCCTGGCTA